TCTACACATATTCTTCCATATTCAGAAATTCGCTATGTTGTTCACTGGCAGAAATTCAGTTTCAATTTGGAAGGGACAGAAGGTTTGATGGCCTGTGTTAGTCATGGCAGTGGTGGTCTCTCAGTTGATCCAACTCTCTTTTGAAAGAGTCGGCTGAGTTAATGAGTTCCACCTGTTGATGATTCGATGGGAAAGTCGATAGTCAGCTGACAAATTTGTTCTGGGCTTGTGAACTATTTGCAGTGTCCTCGTAAATTCTCTGTTGTAGAAGACAAGAAAAATGAGGGCATATCAGGTGCAAATTTGGCACTTGTCAATTTGAAAATTGTAATCAAGCCGCCTCTAGTTCTTCAATATGACAACGAGAATAGGTTTAGCTTGGCCAATCGAGCGTCATACGGGAGCATTGCTATTCCGGGAATAAGCTTAGTTGCTGTTCTCTGAACTTTTTCCAAAAGCTCAACGACTTTTTTTAAGCAGTGGCTAGCCGCTTGTATGCAGTACTCAAGTTTAGGACGCACGAGAACTGTACACAAAGTCAAAAACGTTTTAGCGTCGACATGACCAAAAGCCTTACGTACTGACCGTAAAGTTCTAAAACCTTTGGCGGCTATTGCACGGCAGTGTGCAGCAGTTTTTAAGTCTTGGCTAACGATGACTTTTAAGTCATTGCGTATCTGGACAACAGGTAGCTCAATGTTCTTCAATGTGTACCTTTACGTCTGATATGCATCACAATACACTTCATGTAATTTTGGAGTTCTAAGCTATTATCTTTACTTCGTATCGCTCTCCATATCTTGACATTGTCAGCATATAGCAAGACCGATGATGATAGAAGACAAAGGACGTCATTTACATACAAGAAAAACGTTTTAGCCCTTCAATTCGTTGACAGAAGCCATAAGTTTCATATCAGAAAACGTATGAGGACTTCCTCAGCTTAATGCAATTCTGTTAAACAACAAATAAATCGTGAAACAAACGATTAAACTTCGTTTTCAGTAGCAAATTCAAAAAGTGGATGAAATAGCAGTTAACAAAATGTATTTATAGGTGTCTTACTTGTCATAAACAGTGCTCTCCATTTTCTAACTCTTCTAAAATTTAACCCAGTCATTTGGTATAAACAAAAAAACTGGCAAGCACCATTTAGATATTACTCATCAACATGCACTAGAACTTTGTTTATAGTTTAGTCAGCGATTGTGGATTTTGTTTACAGAAATTTGTTCGTTAACCCTACAATCGACACATCATAAATTAGTATTAACTGCGACACGGTTTAGTTACAATGCTCAAAACAAATGCACATCGCTTTACTTATGAAGAATATGTGGATAACTAATGTAGCACTGACAGTAACATTAAACACAGCTCCTGTGTATGTTCATAAAGTGAGGAGAAACGGCTATCAACGTCAACTCTTACTATATAATTTTTCTCAGATACGTTACATAACAATATGTCAGTTCAGTTGAAAACAATTATACTTATAATGGGTAGAACGGTGAGGTTATAATTTATGGACGTATAAGTTTACAGGTCCAAACTCAATGAATTATCTGCATAACCTTGAGTATGCACTCGGCTAGGATGACGCAATGTAGGGGAATTTTTTATCCTCATGAATCATTTTACGGAATCTTCGTCCTTTACGACATTCGAAATTTGTACACTTAACATAATCTAGCAGTAGATCCTTGAGAACTGTATGAGAGCGAAATGGGCTTTTCCGGTAAAGCCAGAGTTTTAATAAGGTATATTCTTCTTTTCCAATAAATGTGACGAAATGTTCTTCAATAGTAACATCCTCATCATCTTCCTAGGTCCAAATTTCGAACTTTTCAAAGTAAGCTTGAAAAGCTTCAGAAGTTGAGTGAGTATCTAACTTTTCCATCACAGGCTCCATTCAGACGCCAATATGATATTCTCGAGTCTTTGAATTATCGTATGAACTAAGAATCCCAGAAATAACGTAGTCGGATCAAAAAGTACTATATAACCACAAACGAATGTACAAGTACAAAGGAATCACCAGTTCATTCAAACACCCCATGATCTCGGGTTGTGACGCGAAATCCACTCATGTCCTGACTGTTCTTTTACAAACTGACTGGATCAGTGAATGTCTAGGAAGTATGAACATGACGTGCTAGCACAACGTATATATATATATATATATATATATATATATATATATATATATATATATATATATATATTACAAGTGACAAACTCTGCAATGCCTGGCAAGCGCAATAAGATCAACGGAAACCTGGTGTTTGGACATGAAGAAATGCAATCAGATGCGCCTTCTGATATACGGCAAGTTCCTTTTGATACATCTTCATGTCATGGCTCTAATACTAGGTTAGTAAGTAGGCACAGCAAAATTAGCTCTAGCACCACTTGGCAGAGTTAAAAGAAAAGCAGTTGAGGGAAAGACAACTATTAGAGATAAGAGACTTGAAAGATAGGTAGAGGAAGCAACTGTTGTGCCTTCAGAATGAGTTAGGGTCGTTAAGGCTAAAAGAGAACATGCGTAGTAAAGTATCTTCTGCCTCCAAGTGTGATAACAGAGGGCAAGAGTATGTTCACACTTTCGTAAGCCGTTCTCATGACCTTAGAATCAAGTCCCCAGAAAAGCCAAATCTGTTAGACTATCCACGAAGGAAGAAGAGGGAAGTGACCTAGGCATCTGTGAGTGTAGTTCTTGAGCTCACAAAAGTAGGACTGAGTAGTTTTGATGGGCAACCATCAAAACACTGGAAATTTATCAGACAGCTAGAGTTATATGTGGTATCCAAGGTCGAAGATGATGGTCAACGGCTCTTGTTCTTCTTACATCATTGTAAAGGAAAGGCTCGAGAGTCCAGGGAAGAATGCATAATGCTTCCACTATCATCGGGTTATCGTAGAGCATGTGACATACTGAGACGTTTCTTCGGTAGAACACATGGAGTAAACCGAGCTTTACTAAACGATTTGACTGAAGGTTCCAATATAAAGCACAATGACTGAAAAAGTTTGTCTAGATTAGCAATAAATATGGAAAATTGTTCTATGGCCTTAGAACAAATAGATTATTCAGCGGATCTCAACTCCGTAGGAACTATAGAAAGCATAAGGAAGAGGTTGCCCATGGCATTACAGATGAAATGGGCATATTATATCGAAAATATATTTTGCACCTTTTCGCTTCTGACTTCTGATTTCACTGGGATGGCACGGTTCGATTATAAAAGGTGTTACTGGTTAAGATGTTGTCAAACTCCGGATACCTGTGGCATCTTTCAGTCAAATAGCTGCGGAAATGAAGAGGTAAAAACTGAAGCTGATACGAAAAGGTAAAACCCATTCAACTTAAGCTGAACATAAAAGATTGGATTCAGGAGCCGTTATGCACTATGGTCTTAAAGAAAGAAATGCCTCGTACAGCTGCGTTCATATTATCCAAAGAAGAATGCTAATCACTTATAGGATGTTTGTCTTGTGGCTTCATGGTCGTCAGTACATCATTTCAAACAAATAAGGAAGTAATTACCACGATTGTCATCAAGTGCAATGCACTCACCAGTGATAACAACGAAGACGATCAAGATCAATTTTATGAGACTACATTTTATCGTGGAAAACTACCCCGGGTTAACACGCGATCATCCTGATAGAAAATCTGGATGCCGAATTCGAAATGGACAACATCGAGTACGAAGATATCATTTGACGACATAGACTGACTGAAAGAGACGAAAACGGTGAGAGATTCGCAAGTTTATGTGTCTTCAACAAAATGGTTGTAGACAGCACGATCTTCGTCCACGAATGCATACAAAAAGCTACATGGCTTTCACTTTATCAGACTACAGAAAACTAGGTCGGTCATATTGACCTCACTAAAAATTCAAGAGATCCATGAAAGACACGAGGACGAAGACAGATATCACAGCACCAGATCACCTCCCGGTGGTTGCCAAGATGAAACTAAAGCTATAGAAATACTGGATATCGGAAAAAACGGTAATTCAGTGGTTTAATGTAGTCTTTCTTCTAGATACTGATAAACTCGACGATTACAAGGTGCCTCTCGGCAACAGGTTTAATACCTTACAAGATTTATTCAAAGACTAGGAAACTACTATAGAGGACAGCTGGAAACAGATCAAATAATCAGTTGTTACGAAGTGCCAGTGGGTTCTGGGTCGTAAGAAACATCATCATAAAGAATGGATCACCATCGGAACCTTTAGCAGGATTCGAAGAGGAATAAGCAAGAAGCCGTCTGTTAATAACAGTGATGCATTTCGTATTCACGGTCTACTTTGGTTAGTTCAGAATAAGCATCAACTTTTTTTATGGTGGGCGATTGATTTTGGTGCTAACAGTATGCTAAAGAGTAGTGAATGAGTCAACGTTTGCTCATCAGATCAGAAATTTAATAGCATTGCATAAAAGCTAATTTAAAACTTTGGGAATATGTCCACGAAATAAGTAGTCTAGATATCCTAATCACTTGGTCTATAGTACCATCATCAATGAGCCTTTCTACAAGCACTGGCAACTGCCCATATATAGACTATATTTCCCCTCCAGCCCAGCAAATGAATAAACAAGCAGTATCAGTCGTTGCTAGACCTACATCATTCAGTATATCGCATTTTCTATTACTGCTACCTCATTTTTTCTCATCCAGTGATACTTCCTTTGAACCTCCTACGGAACTCAATTGATATCCTCTGCAACTTCGGCCAAACTAGCAACTTCCAACATCAAGGTAGAAATGATAAATTCTGTTTCCAGACCAACTTAACGGGAAAGACCAAATGTTTGGTAGTGTTACTTAGAATCACGATGCAACTCCAAGTAAATTGATTTATTTCTACCGGTGAGTCATACGAACACTGAACGGACTGCCATTTAACATGGAAGATCATTAAGTTGGGGCTTCTTCTATCCCGCTTTAAACCATTTGAACACTTTGGATATTCAATAAGGTTTGAGTTAGGCTCTTAGCGCGCTGCTTTAGACGGCTGCGCAACGAGATGTCTTACTCTGAAGTGGATGCAGTTAAGAAGTTGCAAGGTCTAGATAATTCTCAACTTTCGGTAGAAAGTACATCCCAGTGGTTTCTAAGTAATAAACAAATGGCTAAAGACTTGGTCAAGCTCTGGTTTAAAGAGTTTCGCAAAGGTAATTCATTGTGTAAAATTATTCTTTTACTAAGCTGCTCCTAAGAAGAAAATCGCTTTTCTGCATCTGGCTAACGATGTTATACAAAGGGGTATAACTACAGCTCCTCAGTTCAAAAAATTGTTTGAACCAGTTTTGCCTACGGCGTTTAAAGAAACATCAAAGTGAGTTTGCTAATTCTAGTCTCTGTTCCGACAAGTTCTAATTTGCTATCCTGGTTTTGTTATATTCAAAAGCTTTTTTATAGTATTTTCTGACCTTGCACATCTTTTATCTATGTAACGGTCACAAAAGATGCAGCTAGCTGGTAATGAGGCATCTAGATACAGAGAGGCAGCTGCCTCTCTGTATGGTGCGCATCATATTCTATAAGGCACCCTATAGAATAATTGTGGAAATTCAACTCACCAGTCAAATACTCGCTCTCTTTCTACGCTTTTGAAAGTGTCCACTGTACAAGACCCTGTAGCTTTTAAAACTGATATGGACATTGCAGTATAATTATTGTCTTCAACTGAAATAATTATGCACAAACAAAACGAAATATAAATTCAGTTAATGATTATAGTGCCCAGGTAAAAGATTGTGTACTTTCGGTTGGTTACACTTGCATCACATTGTGAGAATTTCCAGTGTATCACGTCCAACCTAGTTATCTAGAACTTAATTACCTCGTAATTAGCCGATCGGAATAACGTTAAATCCCGAACAGTATTGTTTTCAATTTCCATACTTATAACGAGTAATTTTAAACCAGTCTACCATGAAAACGAGTAGGGTTTTTACGACAAAATGTTCAAATTCTCCGGTAGAGTCGAAAGTATCCAGATTTCTGCTATTATTTCTGGTATATGTCATCCAACACTAACTACCAGATTCTAACACACTAACAGCAAATAAGAACGATAGCGATATATTCACGTTTAAAAACTCTGTTGCTTCATCTTCACTACTCCCAATATCATACTATTAAAGTGCCCTTATTATCCTAACCGTATTTGGTTTAATCATGGTTTACATACGTTACTTAAAATCGTCACTCAGTAATCCTACCACACAACGAATACTTATAAGACAGATTTGATCCATCATTTGTACATATAATAAGTTAAATTAGTATTTAAGTATCAGTTTATTTTGTACATTCGTGTTATTGTTGCCCATTAGCTGTAACTTGCTCTATTGTATACTTTCTTTTGTATCATTGATCAGGCGAGTAGATTTTCTGTTTATCTGATTACTAATTGATTTTAGAGTACAGCGTCATTCAGTGCGTTCATCTGTCGCTCATCTTTTAATCGTATGGGCTACTCGTCGAGTGTATTCTAAGAGTTTTCTTAGACAGTTACGTTTTATATGCCAACGAGCGGTCGCTGAAGCAGATACGCCAGATGCCAGTGAAGAGATCGTAAGTTAATCCTACTAAGTGAAATATATACCTATATAATCGTTCACTTCTACCCGTGTACATTTTAAAAGTTAAATCTGAGGTTAAAATTGTCTTTATTTAGTATAAATCTCACTAGATTGAAACTTGTAATCTAAATCTTCTATTTTATGTATGCATATTTTATTGCTCTCGTTTTTAAGATAATGTGTAGTTTTATCTGGATTTGTGATGGAGTTTAACTGACCACTTAGCATTGTAACGAATTATCCATTTTTTGTGTCTGATGGTACACTAGTTTAAACGTAGTTTTTCAACAATGAATACATGTATAATATGTAGTTGGATATATCGATTCTTCTCAGAATCGGAGCCATTTTAATAGTAATGGAATAGAAATGGTACGAGACCATATTAAGTCTTTTCTGCCTACTTGACAAAATGTAATAATTCTTCTCAAAATCACTGAAATTTAATTTCAGTGCTATCAGTCAGCTTAATCCACAAAAATTGGAAACAAACAACACGTTTACACTCCCGAAAATGTTCTATTGCTTCTGTTATTATCAGAATCCACTGGCCACTATTCGACATTCTGCTACCAGTTCAAAAATAAAGTTGTAAACAGAGTTAGGATGTCCATCAAGGTGCATTCTTTTAAATCGCCGTACTTTACAGCATGATCAATGTATTATGTGGTCTTTCACTAAACCACCTAGTTCTCAGAATTGTACCAGGGAATGTAAGCCCGTTTTTATAGAGCCCAAGTTTACTTCAGATTTGTTCTTGATACGTAATAACCCGACTTTATTTTATGTAGCCACTTCTTGACATAGTAGGAAAAATGATTATGCATACATCCTTAATAATGGCTTCCGCTGTTTAACTATTCCATAGATTCTTATTGGTCTGTGAATGTACGCTCATAGATTTTCACTAGTGAAATATAAAACTCACTTTTTACATAGTGTGAATTCACCTCCTATAATAATCATTCATCTTTGTAATTTTTGGCACAGAAACGTAACATCATTGCTGCATCACCATTCGCTTTCTCATTCACAGCAGTTTTGACAAATTCATCAGGATTATCAGGGAATAAAGAATCATCTGTTGCTGGTAATAATCTTCATACACCCAAGTTAATTGACAATAACAAAGTGAATCGTAAACGACACCGTTCTTCAACTACAAAAGACATATCAACGGCTCCAATATGCTTTGACCCTAAAAATTATGGAGATAGTAATATGTCGCGTAATTCAATTTCTGCATTCCGTGAAGAGTTAGACCTTGAACTACAAACTGAGGCTACTGAACCTCCAAAGGTATGTTGTTGTTTTGATAACCATCAACCGGCGTGCTTAGTTTTAAACTGAAATCATCTTACGACTGACGATGTGACCTGCTTCTGTTTGAGCATATGTATGCATATTCGTATATGTATTCGGCTCCCCTTTGTACCTATATTCATGTGTTCGAATAATAATAATAATATTAATGTTAATAATGATGATAGGACTGACGATATCAACTGACTGTCTACATCTGATTATGTAATGTAAAGCTCGGGTGCGCAAACTGAGTCTCTGAATCAACAAGTTAAGTCCCTGTCATCAGTCATATCCAGCGTAGAACATGGCACATATGTGTATCAGTCTACGTTCCTGCTCCACATTACAGTCCCTGACATTTTAATAAATAAATAACACTCTTGAACATATTTCATCAAGTTCTCTCCCGAAGGATAAACTCTACAAAGTAATAATTAATGATTACATGTAAACAATTCGTTCATATGTGGAATTATTTATTTGTTTAACAGAGCTAATGTGAGCTGACTTTCCACAGTTGTTAGTGTCGGATTTAAAGTCTTTACGTCTCACAAATGTGTCAGTTCAGAAATCACACGTATCATATAGACTTCATGGCGTAGGATGATTCTTTTTACCGGCTAAAAATATCTATACACTACTAAGCAAAACTCCATGGACATTCATATCACTTGTTATAAAATATCTGCGTATTTAGTAACAGTCATAGTTATTGTACAACAATATGATTTTGTTGTGACGTCTGGTGCCCGAAATCTGATACTGATACACCGTAAGCAAAGATGGATAGTGGCTAGCAGTGGAGTCTAGGATGTGCGTTTCATTCTATTTGGAACTCGAACCCAGTACCGTCCGCTTCAAACGCCATCTTGTTATCCACTCAGCTACTGAGTCCTGATAGCCACTTGCTTGTCCTAGATTCCACTACTAGCCACTATCCATCTTCGCTTATAAAAGCTTGTGAATTAAGGCAATATCGAGGCATACGCACAGTATGCAGATATGCCAATAACAAAATGATCAATTTCAGTTCTAAACATCAATGGGAAGATACAAGCAAAACAATACCAAGTGATACACGGTATGCTAGCGAGCGAAGTGTATTGAACTACCGAATGAAATGCACAAATACTCATATATATCGGAACTTCATGCATTTTACTGGTGCTAACCTGTCGATTAATTGTCTCGTTTTTTTAATCTACATGTAACTCAAACATAATCGGATGATGATGATGTAAATGAAATATCTGATGTGTCGGTGAAAATAAACAGATTTTCATGTTTCGTTTATTTGAGGCTTGTGAGGTCGAACCGATAGACAAGAGAGCAGTTATATTGATTTAGTCCGAGCACTGATTAGCTCTCCTAGACTGTCTATCTGGAACTGCTAACCTTTGGCTATCCAATAACACGATAAATGTGAGCTAACAGCCGAGAGTAGCACTAGATGAATATTGGTCCAGAATACAGTTTCACACGTTCGCTCTTCTGTTAGTCAAAATAAAGAACAACTCACCAAGGCTGATATTTTCTGATTATACAGTTCGACTTTCTGAACCATTTATACAGTAATATAAAGCGCAATGCTGACAACACATCAACAGAATTAGGAAATCACAATATGGGCACAACTACACGACAGGTGGAAGAGGACTGAGTGATAGGTCCATAATAAAGTAACAATAACTTTGGAAAATTAAAACAACTGTTTATGCGACAAACAAAAGCTCACTAGTAGGAGAATATAAAAATACGATAGTTTAATTATTTAATGAACATACAACAAAAATCCAAACTATAACTTCAGATCGGATTGTCCAATAAGTTCCGCTTAACCTAATATTCATCTTGACATAACGATACCCTATTTACTTCCGTCGACAAGCCATGTTTATACAGGCCGTATCTAGGATACATATATTTCAGATATGGTAACATTAAATATTAGAGATGCACATCAAAAGTCTAACAAGTATATAAAGCATTTGAGTTCGGTAATACACAGACTCCGCGAATAATAAGGTGACTCAGTTTTTCTCTCTCATTTAAGAGAACTACTTGGAGTGGATAGACGCCTACATGCCATCATTTATTTATTTAAACAAACATTGATACAAAGGGACACCAATATATATATATATATATATATATATATATATATATATATATATATACTCCACACAAAGTACTTATCTCTCAATTTGTTTGCGGGCTAGAATACCGTCCGAGTTCCAAAACCGAGACAGGTGGTCCCCTTAGGGGGCAACTTCCCGAGCCTTTGACCTAAGAATCCAATCCACAAAACAGTGGAGTAACCGTAGGTGTGACCAAGAATATGTTCATACGCCATTTGTTCCTCAATGATCCTAAAGCCCTTTTGAAGCGTTGGTTTGAAATCTGGGTTTTCTTACTCCAGATTGTGTAAACAACATCTCGCCACAATAAGTCAGTGTGTAGGACTTCCCTCATGCATCTGTGTGTAAAAAAATACACTGATCAAAGTTGCACCTGAGTAATTGGTAAGGGTAAATATAAATGAGTGGTGGAATAACCTGAAAGAATATTGTAATGAATCTACCTAAAAGCTAGAATCAATCACGCGCTATAAAAATGGAACTAGTAATTACATCTCAGTCCTACAGGAGGTTAGTCACGGCTCGGATAGCTCAGTGGTAACGACTCTGACTGTGAAGCTGGGTGACACGAGATCGAATCCGCCAGGGAGCACCAGTTCCCTCAAGATTACAGGTACACCTTGCTGACGAGTGCCAAATAGCACGAAACCCGGGTCCAGGGTTTCTTGTTGACTACCTCCAACCACCATCTGAGCCTCCCTTCAGATGACATATTCCGATACACCTAGTATGATGGCCTATTATTTTCTCGTACGTAAAAATACCTTATGATGTGATGTTCATTATTAGAAAAAGATTTTTTAAATTCTTTTTATCTTTAGGTCAGTGAACTTATTCAACTTTTAGAAACTCTTCAATCAGCTGCTTCTGCTGATGCTGCTACACGCCGTGAAATAGCACAATTCCCACCGGAAGTTTCTGATCCTAATAAAGCAATGGAAATTATGAAGTCATGTAAGATTTTTTTAAATCGTATGAAGATTAGATATATACAACTGTTTATTTCAAAAGCCTATTGATTGTTTGATTTCTTATGATATTTCACTCCACCTTCATAACAGTAACATAGACTATTGAGAAAGATATGTGTAGTTATAAGTCTCGAGTTTTTAGATTTATCCCATTGATTTGATAGAAAATGTCAACTATATCATGAACTCTAGATGACTAGGAAATTGACCTACTATGAAGTAATTTCAAGTGTTTAAATTATTAACAATGGCGTAGAATAGTATGATTCATTTGACAAAACCATTTGCCTTTTAGCGTTTTCCTATTTTCATTGCTAAAATATCCACTTAATCAGTTCACGAGATTTTGTTTTTCTGGTAGTTTCTTCTAAGTAAGCTTACTGATAACTAAACATGTACTCAAAAGGCTGTCTTCACTTTTTGTAATACATGTATGTGGCCCATTATTCAATAATTAGTACAGACTAATATTCAGTCATAGACACCTTCGAAGCATTACTTGTGTATATTGGCATCACCGAGTGAACAATACTGAGGTTAGATGCAGAATAATAAGTAGTGATGGAAATTCAGTGGATGAGATAATAAATCTTCATCGATTTTGGTGGTTGAGACATATTCACGTTATGCCCAACCACCGCCTACCTTGACTGGGATGCTCGCTGGTGTTGAACTAGGTTTGAAGAAGTCTAGAAGCATCCAGTTCAAGATATAGTATCATTGAGTGAAGACATTGTCCGTTGAACTGGTTCGTGTTGGTAGATTCTTACTACTTGTCCCAGATCCTCGTGAATATCGTAACTAATGGCTGAAGACTTATAAAGTGGTGGTTAAAGGTAGTTGACCTTACTGCCCAACATAGTGCACTCGATTTCAAGTCACTTAGACTAGTGACCACATTGTGAATTGCTCGACAGAATTCGGTTAGCACTGAAAACGAATTGGCATTCATGGCATTGGTCACTTCCCAGTGATTAATCAACTTTAGATGACATGGGACACAATCGGTCACAATGATTTTGATGCACTCATTTCTTCCTTTAAATGTCAAGTCTCAAAGTTACTTTATACTTACTCCGTGAATTTGTTTTTTCTCGAACCTTGTCTGTACCTGGTCTACCACTGATATTACTACTATATTGATATTCATCGTGGTCATTTCAAGTCTCTGTACTTATGTAGGTGTGACAACTAGGACCGATTCATATATGTGCCAGATTCTGTGTTGCTTATGACTCATTAACTGACTTCATCCAGTCTACTTTTACCGGCCTACAGTAATGTTGTGAAAATTAGTAAGTAAACATGTCTCATCCGCCTTGTCTATAAACTAACATTTTGTTCGTTAATCTCAAGTTATATTTAAAACGACATCTAGTGGCGTCGTAAATGCACACTGTTTAGGAATCCCTCAAAATTAAGACAAAACAGCTATCCAGTCCTTCCTAGTTGCCAACAGTTGTCCAACTAAGATCAGCTCATGATGCAAAACTATAAAAATTCAATAATCTCCACCTATCTTTTCGGTAAACTAAAATAGACAATTATCTTCCGAGACATTTCCCCTCTTATTCTCATATTACACTTTCTTTTTATCAGCATCTGAACAAGAACAACAAGCATTAATAGAACTTATCAGTAAATGTTCCTCTCGACTAGATGTCTACAATCAATTGTTAGAAGAAGAAACAACTAAACGTAACCAGTTAGCTCTTCAATTACGTGCTTTTCATAGTCATTTGAACGAACGAATTTTACAGGCTAAAATTGAAGTCGATGTAAGTGTTCTGTTGCTATTGTTATTCTTAGAAAAAATGATTTTAAACTGACTTTTTTTTGTTGGTTTATCAGATTCCATTAACTTTAAAAATAAGTAGCATAGCTTATGCACATTTGACCTAGAACAGCCACACTTTCATTTAAATCAGAGTTACCTATATTGAAACAGTTGAAGTAGGATTCGAACTATAATGTAGCGCTTAGTTTTAGTTATCCAAGCAAAATCATAACTCACTGGATAATCGTGCAATCTTTTTTCTTTTCTCGTAATTGATATGTCTTGTCGATCGAATGCTACTTGTTATATCTGATCGTCTCTGATTGTTGTGTCGGAAACGCTTATCACTTATACCCGAAACGAGAGACCTCGGCAATTCTCACGACGCGAAAGTAAAAATACAAAGACTGGTATAAGTGAAGATTTATTAACCCCCAAAACACGACGACGACAACCCTAGTCAAAAATACACATTTATATATTGATTGTACTCACACTTTGATTAATAATTAGGATGAAATCACATAATGAATACTCAGTTACGACAAATCATATGTTGAGTATAGTTCATGTTAATGGAATACACAAATATCGTATGTTATACAGAATGAAATATCATACGAGAAAAGAAAAAATACTGCATTGAGTAATCATTACATTGAATCAAAACGGAAATAATGTTGAACAAAATTCATAATGAGTAAATCAATCGAATTTTGACTTTTCTTCCCGTCATATCACCGTCCCTTCTTTTTTTGAAGACTCAAAGTTTAGATCCTGACTTTAAATTTTCTGACCTTATCCTCCCCCACGAAATAATGTTGGGTCCTCATATTCCCGAGTTACAGTTAGTGTGACTCTATTTAAAACATATTTCCCTGATTGAATAGAAAGTTTACTAGAACTTACTAGATGGTGGGGGTCAACGGCACTTGATATGAGGTCATGAAGGTTTGATTCTTCTGAAACATTTTCATCAAATTTCTTGAAAATCTCATTGGTAGATAGAGGATCACTAGGATAATCAGCATCTATCAAAATTTCATTAGGTTCTTGATCATCATTTGATACATCCCACATATTTTTCTCATTTTCGTAAGAAATTTGATCAAGAACATCTTAGTCATTAAGATAACTCATATCTGGTAAAACAACTAGAGAACTCCAATAATTAGATTCATCAGAAACTTTTGTCATAGAATGATGAACTTCATTATGCTTCTCGATTCATTTTCTGTTTCTTCGTGGGCGAGTACTGCATCAATTTCATGTGCATTTAACAAAACATCGTCCTTCTGTGATTTGGACAGGTCAGTGTTTGTACATTGTGTTTCGGGGACAATGGGATTTGAACCCGCTACAGGGCATGTCTCTGAAATAGACGTTTCTGGACCACTGGGCGGATCATGAATGGCTGCTACTGCTTCGCTTAAATTGCTGATTGTCAAGGATTCATAGAGGCTTCTGTCAGCACATTCATAATCCTGCAATCATTTACAGCTCTGTACTCAATTTAGATATTAGTTCATTAACTCCTGTCACATCTCCAAAGCATGTATGATTAGGCAGCCGTGTTTGTAATTTGTCTAAAAATTTCAACTGATTCTTTTTAAAACGCTGCTGTTGTACCTGAAATAGCAACTGTAATTGATCAGAAGAAAGAGCCATTTTCTCTTACTGGATGAATCAACACGGTAATAGAAAATATAGCATGACAAGTTAATAGCCTATGTCATTCAAAGACACCGGCGACAATTCTGTATGCTGATTGTCTTGGCTTCTTTCACCCCGTCGCCACTGATATGTCTCAGTCATATAACTGAATATTATAGACAAATTATTTATTAACTCTTAGATAATCACCTAGCCTATTACTATTGTTTATTGCGTCAAAATGACTTACAGTATGTTTCGATAGTTGATTTATCGCTTACTTTCCATCCTTTTGTCAAATTATACAGTTTCTCAGTATATCTTTACAACTTTATATTCACGATAACCAGTATTTGTGTTCTTGTTGCAAATTAATTGCATTAGTTCAGTCAGCGAGACTATGATTTATGAACGAACCAATCAGATTTATAATAGCACGCCTTGGATTTTGGCGCGAAATTCATCCACTTATTTGGCTAAATACCATTTTGGTATTATAGCTGATGTCAGTTCGTGATGAAAACATTAAATCTATTTTCTAACCCTAGCGTTCAATTGTAAATCCTAATCCTAATTCCTCACACTAATATATAACCCTCATTTAAACCTTAGTAAATAGGTGAACATTCCAAGGTCATTTTAGCGCTGCTCAAAGGTCGTCTATAAATTATAGTCTCACCGTTTGGTCTCTCATACCCGTGTTATGAACTTCGTAAATATATGTTATAGACTGTCAGTTATTCAGTCGATCGGTCATAATCAATGTAGAATATGGCCATTCGTCCTAGTTATTACATCACATCAGAACAACGAGATGACTATCAATGTAGATAGACGTTGTAATAATAATATCAGTTATACAAAGTAAATTAGGCGGAAAAATGGATTCACGAAATAAAATGTATAAAATAATTTCAAAACTTGGAACCTGAGGAAAAGCAAAGAGTGAAGTCATCTGCACAACGGCAATCGATTTTCAGCCATATAACCCAACATTATAAATTAGAAATTTTATGGGTAAATGAATGGTTTAAAAACTGTTATAAAAAAATGCTTAGAATACCAATTAATAGATAGAATGCAATGATATTATTTAACCGAGTGATAGCGCCTCACGATAATGAAATTGATCATGTAAACCTACGAATAAACTTAACTTGGAAAATTAAACCACTAACTATAAAAATAGGTCATTTATCTAGTAAATAACATGTTTCTATGGGAAATATTAACACAAGGATAAATATAATTAGATTATTATAAGCAATTGGAGAATAAAAATATCGGTCACTCACTTTCAAATGAAATTAAGACGTGGTTATCGGGCGTAATCCTTGTCTATTACACCATATTATCAACAGTATTCAAATGAAATTTCAATTGCATTACAGTTTATGAATAATAGGGCAAGAAATGTGTCGAAAAGTTACTGTTAACCAGTAGTAATCGCGTTCACTCCCATTCGCAATAGCGTCTACAAATTATCGATCACTATATGGTGCGATTTTAGGCGGTAGGAGGTAGTCGGCATAAAACGCTAAACTAAGGTTTCGTACTAACCGATACCCGTTAGTAAGAAGTGTCTAGAATGTAAAATTCGATTCGAATCTCACAGGAAGCATCAGTCCCCTCGAAACTGCAGGTACGCCTCCATGATAAATGCCAACTAGTATAAAGCTTGAGTTCAAGGTTTCTTCCCCCACTACCTTGAGCAACATTACAGCGTGGTCGATGAAATTTCAGCACTACCAAAAAAAACGAATAGATAAGCGTGATATTACTCAATACTCAGTGATTAATCGTTTATAAAAAAGTTGGTCAGCTTGTTCCCTGTTTTTATTATCTACATCAGTTTATATTTATTGTTGTTTGTTTTATTATTCTTGCACAGGACTTGAAGTCGAAATTAGATCATGGTCACTCATTAAAAAGTGAACTGAATAAACATATTTTAAATCTTCCTGATCTTCATCTTCTACCTGATATGACAAATTTCGGTTTAGATCCGTTACCAACAGTTGGTGATCTATTCGGTTAAATTTCTAGTCTCAAGTTATGTAATCATCAGTTCATGTAGTATTGTCTATCTTCCTTCTTGACTTACTTTTCTATGTATATCAGTCCAATGTATAAAGCTTAACATTTTGTAAATATAAATTTTATTTCCAGTAATATGGATTGTGTTTTTCTCCCGAGTTTATATTATATGATATCTGTGTATATCTGTTCATATGTTCATCTCCTCTTCAATTTCTTTCACGTTTATGTATGATTGAATGAATGAATATATTTATGAAACAGTTTATTCAAGTTGTGCAACATTATTCCATCGGTGATTTCTTTTCTTCTAATAGAGAAATGTATTTAAGACTTTCCTTATTATTTCAAGAGCTCCACTTGACAACTCAGTTTAATAAAGTAAAAGTCTACTTTTGAATAACTTTACCAGTATTGTTTAACCTCAATTAGTACATAATACGGAGTATTATTAAAATGAACTATCACTGGCTTTCAGTTTATTTTAAAAACACTATTTAATATTTTTGGTTGAAATGAGAAAAAAAGCTTTTTAAGGGTAAGCACATTACACTAGTTTTCTATATAGCTCCCTAAACTATGAAATCCTAGACCAATGACTTTAACTTCTAAGTATTGATTGTCTGATCTGTTGGTAACTAAATTCTGCGGTAAAAGTATACTGTACTGACGACCTTGGACAAATTTTCATTCAATAAGGAATGCTAGCTAGTTATAAAATAATTACTTATACAAAGCAATGAAATAACAAAGGAGTAATAGCTCTAATCTGAATAATTAAACATCATATGTCAAATTATACCCTTTAATGAAGTAAATAGGTCAAGTATACACTTATAAATACAAATTAAGAGTCGGGCTAGTATTATCACCCCTTAGAGTTTTCGTCACTAACTGATATCAGCGATGATGCGAAATGTTTAGTGTTAGGCATTATAGGTTTAGTTGGAGTTCTGAGAGGGGTTTACGAATTCGGGTTAAGGCTTTCTTGACAAACTGACTTCAGCTATGGGGTAAAATTTTGTCAAACTTCTGTTTATGAAGGGTTAGTGGGAGAGAACACTATCTAGCTCCACAAAGCACTCTTAACCACGCATCGAATCATGTAAATTACCTTAACACACAATCTGCCCAAGGAGTAGGTATATTTTTCGTAGTTTGGCTTGAGCATCATCCTAAGCTCACTTTTAGGTTGCACAATAGATATTTTTGTTAATTTTAAGGACCAAATATTTCCAATACGTTTTACTTTATTAATAATAACATACAAGATACCTATCATCGCACTTTAAATTTTGCACAAAATACATGAGGCGTTATCTTAATTCTGACCGGTTAGACCAAGATCATCAGTATACTATACTTCCACCAATTCTGTCCATTGATGTGCAATTTTAACCAAATTACAAATTCAAAAGTCAGAAAATACTAATCTCAAGACCAAATAATTAGCTACTAGTAAACTTGAAGGGATCCTGGTAATTGTGAAATTTTATTACTTGCACCACAAACCGGTTTTAGTTAAGACAACCAATAGGATCTCTGGATAACTGTTTCGTTCCAATAAACCACGCGAGCAGTGGACATCTACAATCCCGCAGTGGATCAAATCCAGAATCTCCAGGTCTCACAGCGATCTCTTAACCTTTATATAACTGTGAGTCGATTAATGTTAGTAACTGTCTTATTCTTAAACTCAGTATCGACCCAAGACTCGTGCAATAATATACTTGAAATGACTGATCACGTAGAACACCAAATGCGAGACCATACTTTAAACACAATCATACCACAAGTGTTAAACATGACAAATAGCAGGTGGAATCCATATTTATTGCGAAAAGTTAAAAAGTATTTGCATAATACCCATACAAAGCTTTGATTGTCCACTTTCATCTTTCGGTGTATACTTCCATCCGAACTATCTTCGCGTTTTGTCTCCAAGTGTTTGCCAATGTCGTGCTTTCGATGCACTGAAACTCTTTACTCCGTCTGACAATTGTAGCAACTTCGACGTCACTTCTCGCAACACACTACTTACGAGCAATCTTGTGAGTAGCGTCCACTACAGTGGTAGACGGAGGAGTAAACAGTGCATACTTAGTTAACAGTAACTAAGAGAATAATAAAATGTATAGCGACAGTTAATAGGTCTGCTCAAAGCTTACGATAAGGGAATATAGAAATGCAAAATACAGTTATCTAGTGCTTCTGCAGTAAAAATATGGGTAATAATAGTCCGATAAGTAGTACCGAAAGTTCCAATATTCGTCCCATTATAACAGTTAATATCATATAAATGTCAGCTTTAAAATCGTCTCACATCAATATCCACCAACCATTCCCGAATACTCGAATTAACATATCGAGAGATTTTATTTTGATTTGTATTCAGTCAAATGGTGACATATTATTCATGTGAAATTAAATAAATGTAGAACAGCAGGTACGACGTTCCACCTTCAGTCACGAAGTTTCCTGTTCGAACTACGTTCCACTTCGGTTTAGGCAGCTGGCTAGTCTCACTAGCCTTCATATTTAAAGTTTGACTCGAAGCCAAATGTCTGAATCTGCACCCGGCAGTGAGTTAATGCTAAAATAAATTCTGTTCATTCGTTATTCATCGTTGATATACTTTTGTATTGTTGTTAAAGAAATTTTCTTGCAATTTAAATTTTCTAATTATATTACTTAAATGGTAGACATAACAATTTTTGGTACATGATTCCCACCAGTCTAAAATGAATAGACACAAAGAACTGTATGCAAAACAGTTTCAACATAAAGAAAACAAATGGAAAGATTTACTACACAAAGTAAGTTATGTTCTCTATAACAAAATTTTTATGCTTATTTCTTGGCAATGTTTGAATATGCTGTCAGTTTACATGGCTAATTCTGTTGTTATTTGTGTCATAATTACTATTATTTCGTATGGCTAACACTAATGATAACGAAATTTATCACTATAGTATAGTAACTACCAATGTCCAACTCTATCGAGTAAGTAATAGTGAGGCTAGACGCAGGGTATTTGGCAATGATGGTAAATCAGTTGGTGAAATTGTGAATCCTCATCGACTGAGATGGTCGGGTCACGTGTTACGTATGCCTGAACACCGATTAGCATCACGTGCAATACTGACTAGTGTTGGAGACGGTTGGAAGAAAGGGGCGACCAAACCAAAACGTGGCATCAGTCCTTGAAGTCTTTAACTTCTAGTATGAGCCATGTTGGTAGATGCAGACTACATGGGTTGGGGTCCGCATGATTATCGTAACCAATGGTTAAAAACTGGGTGACATGGCTCAGAATCGACCACAACGGCGTCGGTGTATACACTCTTTGTCTTCCCTTAAACCGTGAGATTAAAATTACTTGATACCTTTCTTTCTACGAATTAATTCTTTCTCCCTGTATTATATCCTTATATGCAATCTCTCTTTTATATATTACTACCTTTGAAGTAGATACTTCTATGAATTTGGTGTTCATCTTGTGCTAATGAGGTGTGGCAACTTGGACCAATGCATATATGTGCCTGGTCCTACGTTGTAGTTGACTGACTAACTGATCAGTTCTACAGTACTTATTATCAGTTTAGGCTAACCCAATACCGTATGTATTGGTTGTCTTTGAACAATCAATATCATTCTTCAAGAAATTTTGTTCGATTTTCTATTCTAGGCTATAATTAGATAAAGATGTGTCTGATTCTTCAACAAAAAAATTATATGCATTACTTCCTTCAGTCGTTGTTGAACTAGCTGTAACCTTAAGAGCCCAATGGTATATAGTGTTTCATCACTTAGTATTGTCAGATTTTATCTGTTTTTCTGGTGTGCCATAAGTTTTTGCAATATATCAAATACACTTCATAAATGTTTGTCATTTAAGAAAAACTGAAAGCTTAAGCCTCTCCAGTTCGTACATTTTTTTGTAGGAATAAAAGTCATCAACTGTAACAAACACTTGTTAATCTGTAAACTATCAACACATACAGTTCTGATGATCAACTTGTGCTCCAGTATCAACCATCATAGTTTCTTGATAAATATGAAATTATGAATAGAACTTAACTGAGAATATACCGATAACCCTATTGATATGTAACTTATTGTAATCACTAGTTAACTAATAACTATCCTAAGGACTGTTAGCATCAAAATATAATAGCTTCCACAGTTAATTCATCAGATGATCTGCAATAATATTTGTTTTGTTTTTTTAAATTTCTTTACAAGTTATCAACTTTATCTTTTCATAGTATGGCTATCCATTAATTGCCTCTTATTGTGTCTTTTCATTGCTACCACTTTGCAATACAAGCGTTTTATGGAATCAATGAAATTGAAACGTACACATTTTATCGATCATCTTCGAAACATATACAATTCAGAACCAGATAGTTTAACCGATCAGCTACTTCTTGAAGAGAAAAGAGAACTTTTAAAAAGTTTGGTCTCAGGTAGTGAAGTATGTAGTGTATTTATCTATTTGTGTTTATATTCCACTACATGGTTATCACTATCTATCAGTTAGCAAAAGCGTGAAAACACTCTTACAGCATTGTTAATTTTAAATTTCTCTTTTTTTGTTATCTACCATCAAATATTATGCAACTTATATACCAAATATAGATGTAAGATTACTATAGTTTACGTCATTCACAAGCCGTAACTAGATAACCATTAAGAAGCATTAAACAACCGTTTCGTTCCAGTGTAGATCACCCTAGCAGTGCTTATCGACAATTCACTAAGCATTATACCCAGGAAATTGTCGATCTCGTAATGAACATTTAAAATTTAAACGACTGAATCGGTAGTCATTGGTTTGCATCCATAACTTCAACCAATTCCCGGTATTACACACTCATCTTCCTATGTCATTATTGAATAACTGCTTCACTACTCATATAATTGAACTCCGCCTATCACGGATTTTCTGACCAGAGCTCCGAAGTTCGCTTCAATCTGTGACATAAACTTGAGAACCGTTCAATTTGTACGTGACATCATGTACCGATTGTCGGTTGTTTGCAATCACTAATACACTGGTCTAAAGCTTAACTTTATTAGTAGTTAGACAAGCATCTCGTTCATATCATCAACAGTTGATAAACAGTACATAGTCATGATATCTTGTTTGCATCTTATTTTTATGAAGGTGATAGTTTTATTTCACTATCACTGAATATATATATATATATATATATATATATATATATATATATATATATATATATATATATATATATTACTATCGGTATCAGATTCTATATTTAACAGTCGTTTCTTTCTTTCTCTCTTTCCATCTACCGTTGAAAATCTCCCTTACCTCCTGCCCCATTTACCAGGCGGAACAATTAGATCTGGATAGTTTAATCTTACTACAAGACAGAGTTCTAGATGAATTATCTGTTGGTTTGTGGAACTGTTG